CCTCCTGATTCAGTTTGCCTTTCTCCTTTTCCCCATTTTTTTAAAATTATTCACCGCTCTCTTAATGGTCCTTGAATGGAGTTTGAAGATGGAAGCAAGAGTCTAATGTTGGCAACATTACTGAAGGTCTGAATGATCTTTTTCCTCTCACCATTTCTTATTTGGAAAGACAGTGAGGCTGATACAAAACGACTTTAACCTGTTCTATTTCTAGCTAAATAAGTCAACTGTCTGTCCAGTGATTCGTACGACAAATGGTGTCATGGTAGCTAAACACATTATCTGAAAGGTTGTGAGAAAGAAACCCAATTAGTTTAGTGTTTTTTAGATATTAATTTTTTTTAGGATAGACAATTACACCATTTGTACAATTTTATATATTACACCCCGTATATATATATATATATATATATATATATATATATATATATATATATATATATATATATATATATATTTTATTTATTTAAACATTATAACATAAATATGTCATAAAATCACTACAAAAATAGCCATTTTTTTTTTTTTTACCTCAGATGCCTTATCAAGTGATGGTGTTGAATTTAGATTGCAGAATTTATTTTTTTATTCCGTATAAAACAATCATATAGTTGTATATATATATATATATATATATATATATATATATATATATATCGTGTATCATGCAACTTTTGAAGACCTAATTTTGAAGCTGATTTGACCAGAGTAAATGGATATATAATTTGGCCAACGGCGTACCTAGGATCGACATTATATACGCGAATTTTATATCTCAATTATGATGTGACTACATTAATTTGGCTCCAGATTTGGTCTTCAAAAGTTGCATGATACGCGAGTATATACGGCATATGGAAAATTGTCTATATATATGCCGTATATACTCGCATACCAAATTTTGGAGCCAAATTAAGTTAATCCCATCATAATTGAGATATAAAATTCGCGTATGTAATGCTGACCCTGGCTATATATGGATAGAGAGATTTTTATCAAACTTTTTAGTATTAACCATGTTTAAGGAAATTCTGTAAGAGAGAACTTCTTTGAGGAGCAAGTGACCATATAAATGGAATACAACTGACATTTTTCATGCAATACATATATATATATATATATATATATATATATATATATATATATATATATATATATATATATATATATATATATATATATATATATATATATATATATATATATATATATATATATATATATATATATATATATATATATAATAAATTTATTTAAATATTTATATATATATATATATATATATATATAATATTATTTATAAATAAATATATATATATATATATATATATATATATATATATATATATATATATATATATATATATATATATATATATATATATATATATTATATATATAATTATTATTTAAACAAATTTTATATATATATATATATATATATATATATATAATTATTATTTATAAATATATATATATATATATATATATATATATATATATATATATATATATATATATATATATAAATTATTATTTATAAATAAATTTTTATATATATATATATATATATATATATATATATATATATATATATATATATATATATATATATATATATATATATATATATATATAATTATATTTATAAATAAATTTTATATTATATATATATATATATATATATATATATATATATATATATATATATATATATATATATATATATATATATATATATATATATATATATATATATATATATATATATATATATATATATATATATATATATATAGTCGACTCTCCTGTCGAGTTCGACGTATGAGCGGTCAAGCAGATCAGCCTGACACCGGCACATGAGATTTGATTATAGTGGTGAAGGTTTCGTGCAGGACCATCCACACTTTTTGAAGGGACGAATACAGAGACCTGGTGCACCGAATGCCACAAGTTCCCCAAACGACCCTCCGCAGGTTTTGAATTCAGAGTTGTCCTTCTACTAGATCAGTTGCCATCCAAGGCTATAGAACCCAGTCCGTCCTGCTATTTACCCATAGCTGGAGGAAAAAAAAGAGGATTCACATCTTTCCCAAGTGTATCTGCACGTAGGTGAATGAGGTACGGTGGAGAAATGGATAGCGGCTTGGATTGAGGAATCGCCGAGCCGAGTTCGAATTCCAGTCGAATCCATTACGTTCACTTACGTGCTAATACCCTTGGGAAAGGTATTATATATATATATATATATATATATATATATATATATATATATATGTATGTGTCTATTCCTGTGTGTGTTTCGTTCAACCTGAAAAGACAGTTTTGTCTTTTTTTTTTCTGTTTTCCCTGTATATTTACATATTTCATCCTTTCTGGATTTATTGAATGTAAATTTGTCCACACTTTACTGATCCAAGTATAGAAGGAAAAGACATTAAAAGACAAAAATCAAGAAACTTTGAAGCGAATTTTTCTCTCATAATTTTTTGAAAAGAAAGCAAAACAATACAAGAAAATGTAACAAAAATGAAAGAAAATATCTTGTCACTCATGTTCAACGAAACGTACATTAAAAAAGGATTGCGGCTATATTTCTGAGATGAGGTATTCTGTACAGTATTTACATTAGTCGGACAATTGTCCTCATCTTTGTCGCCATATTTGTCACAACGTTTCGGCCGTTGTACGCTCCGGCCTTCTTCAGGTGGTTGGAATTTCGAACTGAACCCTTTATTTCGATCACTGGGGTAGACTGTTCTAGTTCCACGTTGATGGATGTCTGTTATCAGTTATCTCCTGCTAATCTTCCCTCTGGAAGTTCTCCACTGCCTAAACTGGGTATTGAACTAACACTCTTTGGGTCTGTCAATGGATCTAATCAACGCCTTTATCCACTGTGCCATGTGTCCTTGAAGACATCTGGGTATGAATTTCTGGGTATTATAAACCTAATGTTTTCAGCAACCATTTTTACCAGTGCTCATTTTGCAATTTTGTTATCATTGCTTTCTCTGGCACTCCTTATTACTGGTTCCCATATTGTATTTATTTCTATGCTTGGTCGGCTCAGGAGATTTTTGTGGCCTAGCATAAGTGCTGATTCCTTAAGTTTACGAACTTTCCAATGGTGTTCCCTGTCTATGATCTGAACTTGATCCCACAGGGGACGGTGATCACCCTTCTCTCTCCATATGTGGTCAGCCACGCCTGATTTTTCAACTTCCACTCGCGTTACAGCTTTCTGGTGTTCTTGAAGACTTACCTTGATGGGGCGGCCTGTCTCTTCTTTTATATTCCTTTCCGCAGCTGCACGTGATAGCGTACACACAGTCTTTAGTCATGTTCTCCTCTAGGAAGGGGGTCTCACTCGAGAGAGATATCTGCGAAGTGTTGTCACGCTTTTGAAGGTTGTCCTGATGTTATATGGACCGCAGATCCTTTGTAGTTTCTCTGATAACCCCTTCACATAAGGCAGGCAGACTGTTTTCTGAGTGTTGTTGTCCTCCTCATCCTCTTGTACCCGCCTATCCCAGTTTTTGGGGGCTGCTGTCATGTACCCAGGGTAGTTGTTACCTTGTAGGGTACTACTTATACTGACCAATTCCTTATCTAACGTCTCTGGGTCGCCACTTATGACTTTTGCTCGGTGTTGTAAGCAACGGACGACCCCTTTCTTTACACTGTATGGTTGGTGGGTGTTGAAATTGAGGTACTGTCCGGTGAATGTTGGTTTACGGTATACGGATGTCTTGAACCCATGCTCTGTTCGAGATATTAGTACATCCAGGAATGGGAGTGTGTTGTTACTCTCTTTCTCCATTGTGAACTGTATTGAAGGTCTTATTGAATTCACATGGTCCAGTAGAACGTGGACATCTTCCTGGTGTGGCCAGAGTATGAAGGTGTCATCTACGTACCTTAACCATATAGTTGGCTTTAGAGATATAGATTCTAAGGCCATTTCTTCAAAGTATTCCATGTATATATTCGCCATTGCCGGTGATAATGGCGAGCCCATTGCTAGGCCCTCATCCTGTCGATATGTGTGTGATCCCATTCCGCAATACACAAATATATATTATTATTAATGTGTATAGATATATCACCTCTATTTAGTTTGTCAAGAATCCTTCGCAATTTGCAGAGAAAGACGGACACGGGACAGACAAATATCCAAAATATGTTAGCAGTATCCAAGAGTTTTAAAAGCCTTTCAGGTTCTAAGAGTGATTGCACTCAATGAACGGATAGAGGTAGTAGATATAATCTTATCGTGATCGTTATTCCACTAGAGATTATATATACCTACATTCACACGCTCACATGAGTGAGCACATACAAGGGGCGTTAAATAAGTTTTGGAGAAAATCGATTTCAAGGCAAACATTCTGAAGTATTCTTCACTTCTCCACTAACATCAAGGCACATATGTAAGATAAGATAACAGCTATTTATACAATCCCAAAAGAATGGAGACTCCTGAAAAAAGCAACCATTTTTTTATGACATTCAACGGTCACTAAATGGGAACTTTTCAAAACCTTTTTAATGTTATGAAATAAGATAAGAAGGTGTTAAATTGGACAGTAAAGTGGATATCGAATGTTTCCCAATAGACATTCTCGCAGTGTTCTCCCATTGTTTGAGTATACGGATGGCTAGAAAAAGAATATTTTAATGGAGTTTCCTACGCCGTTTTTTTATGGTTTGTCAAATTTCTAAGAAATATTTCCTAATTAGCATATGTTCTTTTTTCTACTTAAAAAGATTCAAAGTTATCAGAATCATAGAAATCTTAAAGAGAGAGGAGAAAGAGAGAGATTTCTTTCAAACGTCAAACGACCAGCTCCAAGGAATTTCTCTAAGAAATTAAAAGATTCCTTAGTTATCAGAATCCCAGAAATTTGTTACAATAAACATTTTTGCCTAGTGTGAAACCATAAAACCTTTACGTGACATTTGCTTTGACTGAGCTTTTTCTTCAGGATCGTGCTTTAATGTCCACTTATATTTGTCTTCATCACTGTGCTTTTTCTTCAGGATTTCCCTTTTATACACACATTTTCTTCAGAATAGAACTTTCATATTTACTTTTTCTTCAGGATCATACTTTCACGTCTACATTTTTTTCTTCAGTACCGTTCTTTCATTCCCTTTTTCCTTCAGAATCTCATTTTCATATCCACTGTTTCTTGAGGGTCATATTTTCATGCCCACTTTTTCTTCAGGATCGTACGTTCGTGTCTACTTTTTCTTCAGGATCATACTTTCATGTTTATTGTTTTTTCCTTCATTACCTTACTTTAATGTGCCCTTTTTTCTTCAGAATCCTACAGTTATGTTCACTTTTTCTTCAGGATCGTACGTTCGTGTCTAATTTTTCTTCAGGATCATATTTTCATGTCCACATTTTTTTTTCTTTATTAACGGACTTTCATGTCCTTTTTTCTTCAGGATCGTACGTTCGTGTCTACTTTTTCTTCAGGATCATATTTTCATGTCCACATTTTTTCTTTAGTAACGGACTTTCATGTCCTTTTTTCTTCAGTATCGTAATTTCATATCTACTTTTTCTTCAGCTTCTCAATTTTATGCTCACTTTTTATTCAGGATCGTATTCAGGATCGTACCTTCATGCCCACTTTTTTTTCTTCAGTTCCGTACTTTCATGTGAACCTTTTTTCTGCAACATCTCAATTTCATTCCCATTTGTTCTTCAGGATCGAACTTTCATGACCACTTTTTCTTTAGAATCATTCTTTCATATCCATTTTTTTCTTCATTATCGTACATTCATGTCCCCTTTGTTCTTTAATATCGTACATTCATGTCCACTTTGTTCTTTAATATCGTACATTCATGTCCACTTTGTTCTTTAATATCGTACATTCATGTCCCCTTTGTTCTTTAATATCGTACATTCATGTCCACTTTGTTCTTTAATATCGTACATTCATGTTCCCTTTGTTCTTTAATATCGTACATTCATGTTCCCTTTGTTCTTTAATATCGTACGTTCATGTCCACTTTGTTCTTTAATAGCGTACATTCATGTCCCCTTTGTTCTTTAATATCGTACATTTATGTCCCCTTTGTTCTTTAATATCGTACATTCATGTTCCCTTTGTTCTTTAATAGCGTACATTCATATCCCCTTTGTTCTTTAATAGTGTACATTCATGTCCACTTATAATTCCAGCATCAAAAGTCTTTAGTATTTTGATCTCGCTTATTTGTTATTCCCATCGTAAAAGGCTCTTGTTTATGGCAGATCCGGGCGAAAACGTTTTTGTACCGATGGAGCAGGAGATTTTCTCAGCTAAATTCTTCAAGATAAATTTGGTTAGGCTCAATCGAATAAAACGACTTGACTGTTAGGGATGATTCCTGCTAGTAATCATCGATCGTCCTTAATTAAATCTTGGAAAATATCGATTTTCTTTCCTCTGAAACGAATATTGATCGTTTCTCGATTAGTTCATCTTCAACTCCGTTTCGTCTCTCTTTAAAACGAGTTAATCATTTGGAAAATGCTGATTCTTTACGGGAAATTATCTCCATAAACTATTTTCAATGCACCAGTTCTGCCATAAATTCGATATTAGTTCTTGCTTCTACGTTGACATGATTCTTGATAGTCTAAAGATATTACAGGAGTAAACTCAAATAAATTACATCTAAATATATCCGGTGCTTACCTAACCATAACCCTTATCTCGAAGTACCTCTAATTCATACAGGTTATGGCCGAGAGACGATATTTACCTTAACGCAAATATATATAAAATTATTTGCATAATTTACTCAGTAATGAATGTGATGCTCGAAATTACCTGAAATAGAAAAAATAGTACAGAATTGGTATACTGGAGAGTTTTCCATTTTTTTATTTTGATGTAAAAAAGTATATAAAAAGTATTGTTTTTTAATTTATTTTATAAATTCCTGCTTTCGGAAATATTATTGCTATTAGTGTTTGAATATCTTAGTATATCTATAATGGTTTTGGAAGTGTTTGTGACTATTTCAAGATAAATTAGATGGATAGTGGACGTGACAGAGTTGGCCGGTAGTATCATGCATCTGTTTTCATGTAATTTATTATTGGAAATCATGTCATTATTTTGTTTCTGTTGTATATGAAATGATATGGGTATTGTAGGTTTTTGAAAGTGTATTCTATGTATGTTTCTTCAAGTAAATATTAGGGAGTGCAGATTCATAATACTCTCAGATAGAAACCTATAATAATTCCAGATTTAATTATAGAAGAGTGGTTTAAGTAGAAAATGATCAGGTCATTTTTTGTTTGTCGTCTTTCTGTAAACGTCAAAATTGAGTTCATTATTAATTCTATGTAATATTATGTCTAGGAATGGAAGAGTGTAGTTGGTTTCAGTTTCAAAAGTGAAGTCTATTGTAGGTTCAACGTTGTTAAGTTTAGAGAGAAGATCCGTTAAATTAGTGTTTTGTGGATATATTAATAATGAGTCGTCTATGTATCTGAAATATGACGAGTTTGTAGTGAGAATGTTTTTGAATGGGTCACTTTCTAGAAATTCTATAAAATAGACAAGCAAGAACGCCGCTGAGAGGAGATCCTATTGGTAAACCAAATTTTTGTTTGTAATGTTGGTTATCAAAAGTAAAATATCAAATTACTACTCTCCCAAATAAACTTACACAACTGTATGAAGAAATCAAAAGAAAATGATTGAATCCATTAACACTACAATAAAAACAATATCTCCACACGTGACAGTACTTGACTTAATTTTCAGTTAAAAGTATGAAAATAGCGTTCTCGAAATTCTTCCAGTTGCAAAGGACATTTTGTTTTGTTATTATTAGTTACTTTGTTTAATAAATTCATTTCGTATATTATTTTTTATGCACTACACTCCCTCTCAGAATAAGCTGTCACTTGTCGAAACTTGGGGTAATCGATTCACACATCGACATTATTATACTTTTTATTATAATAGATAACAATTTAAATATTTTGCATCGGTACACAATAAATTTCATGTTTCAGAACTATAATGGTATAAGATAACTACTGATAAAATATGCTACGAACTGTACATTCTTACTCCATCTGTTCTTTTCTTTCTCTGATATATATATATATATATATATATATATATATATATATATATATATATATATATATACTGGAGATGTGTGCATCGATTGCCCCAAGTTTCGACAAGTGACAGGTTATTCTGCGAGAGAGTGTAGTGCATGTGTGTCCAATGTAAGTATATAATATTATTTTTTGATTATTAGTATGCACTCTCGCAGAAGGGATGAGAATTCATAAACAATATTATTTTTTCACAGGGGGATTTATAATGTCCCGGTGTTGTTCGTAATATATAAGTAAAAAAAATTAAGAAATAAAACATACTTTTCTGAAACATTATTTGAGAAATATTCGATGATTTAAAGTATAGTTAATCTGAGTTGAAACAAATATTATTTACTCTAAGCTTCAAATAACACAGAAATGCATTTTTAACCAAACTGTAGCTGTGTTTTAACCGACAGTCGCCATGTTTACGTGTTTGATCAGTGATAACAAGGTGATGACATATTGATTGTTGTTCTAAGTAGACGTGATCATTTTTATTAAGCTTTCAATTTTCAATTAGTAAATATATTTTTCACTTAATAATATCACGTAACGCAATTAAAGTAATGCTTATGTTTAAAAGATTTTAAAGTATAAATTTAAATAATTAATATAATTAATATTTTTAAAAATTAAAACAATTCTTATAAAAAATTATTACCGATCGATTTTCTTTCTTGATAGTGCCCTTAATAATTCTTATTTATAAAAACAGTTAAAAGCTTTTCTAATTAAATAATCTCAAAGCTTTATTGCATTTTTTTTATTTTACATTACAGAACATATTTTAAGGAAATGTTTTGCTGTTTGAAAAACAAAATATGGATTAACAATTTCAAAGAGGTCCTGCTTTTTGTAATTTGGCCCAGGGAATGAAAGCGTTGGATAGATTCAGTGACTTGACCCAAAGAACTGTGAGTTCAATATCTGGCTAGAAGAGTGGTGAACAAAAACTTGAAGAGTTGAGTTAAATGGCGATATCTAGAAGAGGCATGGGACAAAGAACTAGAACAACATACCCCGGTGGTCAAAATAAATGGTACAGTTAAAAATTCCAATCATCCGAGGAAGGCCAGAGCGTACTGTGGCAGAAACGTCGTGAATATGGCAAAAAATATTAGGACAAGATCTTCTATAAATAATTTCAAAAATAATTCCATTCAATTGTGAATAAATTCTGTAAGTTTCATTAAAATGCGATATTTATTTGATTGTTGCAAGAATTTTAAAATCAATGTGATTTTACCGTTAAAAATAGTGCTAAACACCCTTTGCGACGCAAGATATTTAAACAAAATTTCGAACCCGCTAGAAAGGATTACAAAAATTTAATAATATATAATAAAAAATACTTTGGTCTTTCCTCTTAATAATAAAATATTTTGACAATAAAATGTCGCTTTTATCAAATAGGCTCTGTTTTACATCATGCTATGATGTAATTGTTTGTTTGTTCTATTTTCATTAAATTAGTGGAGATAAAGGTTGCTGTAGATATACATACTTTTAGAATGGATTTTCTAAAGTGTGTTGATGTAATATGTTTCCGACGCTTGTTTATACATATATGTCGAAACATTTATGTCCTATTTTTTAATTTGGGTGGAATTTGTAAAATCCAAATTATGACCAGTTTTATTCATCTGTATTACTAAAATTGTCCAATTGTAGATCCCTGTTATCATCGTAGATACGGGCTTCTGGATTTCGAGATGTCGCGCCAATATAAGTCTTTTCACATTGCGAACGTTTATTTGATACACCCTGAGATCTGAAGTGCTGGTGGTGGATTTATTTTCTTTTCTAGTTATATCTTCGATTGTCTTGCACCTGATGGTAAAGTGCCTTGGGGATAACTAGTTTATGTTCATTTTTTTTTAGATAGAGTGTTAGAGGGAATGATTATGAATTTTGTGTTGTGAACTTTATCTACTCGTTTTCGAACAGCGAGGATGAAATCATGTGGCTAGAAAATGAGCATACAGAGTTCACAAATAAAACATAGACGTCGCTGATAGCAAATCTAACATTATCAACATAAAAATTCATAATCATATCACTTCTCCTCTTTATTTAATACACTGACGAAGTTTTAATAAACGTGAAATATGTTAAGATTGATAAACGGTTTCCCATTTGTTCTTCATCCTATCATTTTACCGGATTATGATTCATATTTGATCCCAATATATATATATATATATATATATATATATATATATATATATATATATATATATATATATATATGCTGGTGATGGGTGAATGAATTGCATCAAGTTTCGACAGGTCACAGGTCATTCTGCGAGAGAGTGTAGTACACACACACACACACGCACACACACACACACACACACACATAGATAGATAGATAGATAGATAGATAGATAGATAGATAGATAGATAGATAGATAGATCCAGTCGGGCTAAACCATAAATTTAACAATATAGATAGTACTAATATATAACTTTACAAATCAAAACCAACCCACATTTCCACCCACACAAGACAGACATGCGTACGAAGGTGTTGATGCCTCACACTTATACCCACACCCACACAAATATACACACTTACACACATCATACTCATTCACTCCCTAATGAGCCAAATGATAACACACACCAACAGCAATACACACGCTTACACATATGATACTCACTCACTCCCTAAGAACCAAATAGCACACACACAAGCACTTAACAGAGACACATCCCCTCTCTAGAACCAATAAAACTGTCAAA